TATGATATATCATATATAAGATCCATATGCTATACATTTATAAGGTAATATATATTTGTTTTTAAATATATATTTGAATAGTTGTATGTCTATATAATTTATAAGTATATTAATACACATTTATTGGAAGTGCATGCTTAAAATATTTTTACTATGATGTGTATGATTTAAAAAATTTGGCAATCGTACCATAGAGCAGAAGAGTACAACAGAAGCAGAATACAAATAATAGTACTAGCTACTATTTACTGACTGCTTACCATGTGCCATCTACTCTTCAGTTGCTTTATTCATATTAACTCACTTTATCCTCCCAACAAATCTCTGAAGTAGGTGCCGTATTAAGGTACCATGTTATTCCTCTGTTGCAAATGAGATCATTGAAGAATTGAGAGGTTGGGTAATTTATCCAGAGACACAGAACTTCTAAATGGCAGGATATGAACTCAGGCCAGTGGGCCCCAGACTCTGTGCTCTTAACCATCTTTGTAACTGCAGTTATTAAGCAGGGTGTGAGGAAGGACTGGACTTAGCGTCCTGACAGCAATCTATGGGAGCTCATTTTCCTGTCTCCTATGCTAAGAGGCATTTTCCATTCCCTTTGGACATTCTCTCATCTTGAACCTCTTTTGCACCTAGATGTTGAGGCCACAAAAATAAGCCAGACATGGATTCTGCCCTCAAAAAGCTATAGTCAATGCAGAAGATAAAACAATTATATGAATAGCTATATAATACAAGTGCAAAGTCAGAAAGACAAAAAAATTAAACACTATAGGGATTTGGAAGAGGCATTTCCTCCAGAGGAAGGAATTGGGGAAAAGTTTGTGGAGTAAGCCACATTTGAGCTGGCTTGAAGCTAAAGCTTATCTCCCAAATCACCATGGAATTAGATAAAAAAATTGCATCATGAAAGTATCTTTGGAAATGCCTGTTTGGGGCTTTGGCCTTTCCCCTTTATGAATCCCCTCCATATTTAAAAGAAGTATGCCTTAGCTAAGCCTTGCTCAGTCTGGTTTCCCTGGCAGGGAGGGTGGGAACAGGAGAGGCATCTCACTAGGAGGTGAGGCTTTATAGAGTTTGGTTTTGGTGGCAGTGCCCAGATTTCCCAGCTCGATGTGCCCAGGCCACAGCTACACCCACCTGTTCTGATGCCTAGTGGGACTAAGGCTATCTTCAGTGGGATACATGATGCCCAAGAGACTGTAGTTTTAAATCCAGTTTATAACATAATTGTGGAAGTTGTATTTTAGCCTTTGCAACAGCCAAAAATAGTCTTCATTACTGAAAATGGTTCTTGACAGTACAAGAGTTTCCCAAGATTATCAATAGGCAAAAAAAACAAAAACAAAAACAAAAAAAAAAACAACCAACAAGAAACAAAAAAACCCCACAAAACTTAGTAGTAGAATGAATCAGAACCTAATGAGGTAAATATTCAAAAGATGGGTATGCACCACGAGGGGAGTGTTTTTGAGGCTGAGAGCTGCCACCTATTGAGGGGGTTTAAATCAGGATTTTGGCAGAAGCCGTCATTGTGACAGTCAGTAAAATGTCAGTGAGACTCTGTTTCCTCTACATACCCAATTGAGGAATGTGGTCATTCAGCCTTCCCACACTGTGACTCAGCTCAGGAGATACCGAAAAGAAATGATTTAACTCACTAAGACATTTGGAAGTTTACTTCAAAATTGTTAACCACAGCAAAACTGGTTGATATGGGGGTTGGGAGCCAAACTTGATAATGTTTGTGTTTTCTCCCCACCTTCACTACAAAAGATTTTGTCTTGGAAGAAGCTTAGTCTGACATTTTCCAAAACAAGAAAATCAACAGCACTCATATATGTAAGAATTTGCATCACTGGAGCCAGAAAAGCATAAAATAATCTTATCTGTAGGGGAGAAATGGAATTTCATGAGTGATTATATTGAAACATGCCTGCAGACTTAAGTTACTTATGACTTACATGTCTCTAAAGGAAAATATGAATTATAAAGAAAAGTTCTGACTTACTTCTCGGATCTGCACTGACTTATGCCAAGCATAAAGCCTGAGACCAATCTTTGTGCCTCAGATTTTCCATGGATGAGAATGCTACCATGAATATATCATAGACCTCCTAATATGTTTTTATAAGTTATTCTTTAATTTTAAAACCTCTGAGAAAGTTCAACTTCAAAGAATATTAGAGGTTTTCTTTTGTTTTGTTTTTAAAGGCTTAAAGCAGAAGTGATTCAAGCAGTCCAAAACATTGACAGATGTAACATGTAACTCTAAGGGTTTTCAGACACTAAGTACCTTGAATCTCCCTTTAAAGCTCACTTCATCTTTTAATAAATTATTCTTAGTTTAAATATTCCTTCTTGCTTTAAATTTTCTCTGGCTCCCTGGACTCTGTCCATTCTCTAAGTAGAAAGCAATGTTATCCTACTCCTTGTGACATAAGAATTCCTATATTATTATAACAGAATTTTTATAAAAAAACAAAACAAAACCGAATTCTTTGTATTCTTGAAGACACTTATAAAGGATGGACCAACCAACGAATATATATTGAGAACCTACCGAATTATAAATATGATGCTTGTGAAGGGGGTATAAAAAGCTAGCAGAAAAATTAACGATTCAAGAAACAACAGATGCTGGCAAGGATGTGGAGAAAAGGGAACCCTCTTATACTGCTGGTGGGAATGCAAACTGGTGCAGCCACTCTGGAAAACAGAGGAGTTTCCTCAAGAAGTTAATAATAGAACTACCCTATGACCCAGCAATTTCACTACTAGGTATTTATCCAAAGGATACAAACATAGTGATTTGAAGGGGCACATGCACCCTGATGTTTATAGCAGCAATGTCCACAATAGCCAAAATATGGAAAGAGCCCAGATGTCCATTGACAGATGAATGGATAAAGAAGATGGAATATTACTCAGCCATCAAAAGGAATGAAATCTTACCATTTGCAACGACATGGATGGAACTAGAGGTTATGCTAAGTGAAATAAGTCACTCAAGAGAAAGACAAATACCATATGATTTCACTCATATGTGGAATTTAAGAAACAAAACAGATGAACATAGGGGAAGGTAAGGAAAAATAAAATAAGATGAAAATTGAGAGGGAGGCAAACCGTAAGAGAGGCTGAACTCTAGGAAACAAGCAGGATTGCTGGAGTGGGGTTGGGGGGGAAGGGATAATTGGGTGATGGGCTTAAGGAGGGCACTTGATGTAACGAGCACTGGGTGTTATATGCAACTGATGAATCACTAAATTCTACCTCTGAAACAAACAAACAAAAAAAGCTAGTAGACTTCCACACAATACTTCTGAGAAACTTCCTGCATTTGCATTGAAAAACTTGTTGAATCTCCAAGCTGAGATTCAAGACCAATAATTCCAATTCTTCAAAGCCAGATTCACCTCTGTACCACCACTGGGTGTGCCGTCTATACTTGGTTATCTCCAATGACAGGGACCTCACTATCTCCTGACAAGCTGCCCCCTCCAATTTTTGACACCACTTAGTTGCTAGAGAAGATAGATCTTTGTACAAAGTTAGCCACAATACAGGAATAAGTCAAGTACTGTAACTTGACTCAATCAATTGAAAAAGATTCCTCATGAGGTCAGAGGAAAGAGGAATCACTGTTGATTATTGTGTTCAGGAAAAGACAGTGATTGAGGGTTAAATCACCAATATCTTTTGCCTCCTATGCTAAACTGCCTCTCTTGGAAATTTTCCCTCTTTTACTAACTTGCTAAAGAAAATAGTGGGCTAACTCATTCTTTCCAGTCGTCCTTAGGGCTAAAAAACAATGGGAAATTAGCATACTCAGCGGGAGGGAAGCCCACTGGTAGTCTTACCTCTGGAGTCATCCTGATGGCCATCAAGTGATCCAACAGCCCAGGTCCTTACCTCAGTTCTGAGAGGAAAATGACATGGAGTCCAATTGACATCCATTTTTACATATAAATAAACAATGCCTTACTAGTAACTCACTAGTTACTAAAATCTAATCTTTATAACTAAAATTAATGGTAAACTTTCATTTACTGAGGTCTCTAATTTAGTATTCTAAGAATTTGAGCCACTTCTCAATGAGGCAAAACCTCTAGAGTGACTGAGCACATGTTGATAATTTCTAATTTTTATAATTTGGGGGAGGGACTTTTATAAGTACAATATTAGTATATCTTGAATTGGTCATGGTTTCCAATTCCTACTCATCTTGACTTAGGATTTTTTACAACTACTATTAGGTTTACTTTTGTGGATCATTTTGTTTTTATATAACTGCTGGGTTGTAAAGTCTTGAATGTTATTTCCTCATGGATTCTTCTCACAAAGTTCTTGTTTTTTACTGAAAAGTGGAAATGAAAATTAAGAACTACTAAGGTAAAGGGAAGAATTTCCAATGATTTCCAGGCCTTTGCCAGCCCTAGAAATTTCGGATGAACATTTTGGTATTTCAGAACAATGCTAGAGGGTAGATACTATTTTCCCTGATTTAAAAAAGAAGAAACTGAGGCTCAGAAAGATGAAGTGATTTGCTAAGGTTTCAGAGCTAATCAGTGGTGGAAATGAAATTAAAACTCAGGTCTACCTGATTCCAAACACAGTGGTCTTTCCATTACATGAACACCATCAACCCCAGAGTGTCTCACATCTAATTCTCCCTTCCAGATTCTTTTCCCTCCAGTCATTTGGCTGAATGTAACTCTAATAATAACTCTAATAACCACCTGGGTAAAATCTTATTAGCACTAAATTCAGGAAAATCAAATTTTGTTAACCAAGAATATGAATATTACTAAACTCTTAAGCTGGTGTGTGAATGTCTTTTGTTTAAAAAAAAAAAATTGGATGTAATGCTTTTTTTCCCCCCAGCAAGATGTAACACATCTCTATTTCAGGGACTGAAATGCATACTAAGTAAGCAGTTATGGGTAAGGGTAGCAAAGAGAAAAAAACCCCTCTGACTTTGGAATTTCTTGCAGGCATTCTGCAAAGGCTCACTGATCTTAGAACACTTGGATGTCTCTTATTGCCCCCAGCTGACAGATGAGATTATTAAAGCACTGGCCATTTATTGCATTCACCTCACATCTCTCAGCATTGCTGGCTGTCCAAAGGTACGTGCAGGAGTCAGAGTTTAGACGTGTCCAGCTGAAGCACGGACAAAGAACCCACGTAGGGTAGCAGTCAGGCGTTAGACGCATCATAGAACGCGTTTTCTTCGTTATGTCTGAGGTATTCATTACATTTTTTTCCCTTTCCCCAAACTGGAAATAGCTTTATGATTTCATTTGTTTCAAAGTAGAATATTCAAAAAGTTAAAAAAATTCTTATTCAAATATGAAAATGTGCCAAAGATTTATTTAATTCATTAATGTGAAAATCAGCAAAATGGTAAAACCAGCTCATAGAGCATTTGATCAAACTGAGTATTTATAGGAACTGAAGAAAAAGAATGTTGGAATATGATTGTTAGGTTAGACCCAAAACTGGCTAATGTCCTCTAAGGTAGTAAGTCCATAACCTTGGAGTTATAGTTTCTACCAGATAGAAATAATTTACATTTCTCTTGGACAAAAATATAACAAGTTACAACATGTAACTTCACTGAGTTTGGGCCCTAGTCAATAGTAATTAGTATGGCATAATTCCTTATAAAATTCCTCTGGCCTGTTAAACAATGTTCCAGTATGACACTGAAAAGACATGTAATCATCTTTTGTCTTATTTCCAGTGTCTCATAATTTTTCTGACATCTGTTTATAAAAGAAATACATACTTATTGTAAAATCTTTGGGCTACATATAAAAAACAAAAAGAAGAAAGTAAAAATCTGTTGTCATACTACCATCCAGACATAACCATTGTTGGCATTTTATATTTAATCTTCTAGAATATTTTTCTATGTACACAGAGATTAGAAATAGCTACAGAAGATTTGTGTTTTGTCTTTTTTTTTTAAGGATAGAATCACACTTTCCAAAATACATTGTAGCCTACTTTCTTTTCTCTTAATACACTATGGACATATCTCCATGTCACGAAATAGAGATCTCTGATTCTGGATTAATAAGGCAGATTGAATATACACATATAATTTTGTTGCCTTTTGAAACCCTACAGAACTGCAGAAGGGTGAGGGCCCATGCTGATAGGGAAAACAGGAGAGGGGACAAGAGCAAGAAAATTTTGGAAGCTTGAAAATAGATGAACTAATTTAGCAGACCAAAGATAGCTTTGAATCCTAAGCCAATAGTAGAGAAACCTGCGGGGGGCGGGGGGCGGAAATTGATTTATATCATGATCTTCAAATTTGGTAGCACTGTTTACCCCTGGAACTCAGTTAAGAGGGTGGCTAAAATGAAGAAGACTGGGTTAAAAGTTATTTAGAAGTACAGACAGATCCCTAGATTTCCTCCCCTACTTTACACCCCTGGGCACCTGCCCTTCCCCACCTTCACCAAAAGGTTGGATATTTATTTCCTAGATTTCCCAGATTTCTCAACCTTGGCATTATTGATATTTTGGATGAGATAATTTTTTTGTAGTGGGGGTTATTCTGTGCCCTGTAGAATGCTTAACAGCATCCTTGCCCTCTCCCAGTATGTGTCCATAGCACCTGGTCCCCCACACCCCCTTATCATGATAAGGAAAAGTGTCTCCAGATATTGCCAAATGTCCTCTGGGGGGGGGCAAAATCGTTGTACTACTTGTTCTACAGATAGTAAAAACAGAGGGTTGCTGGGGTACACCTGGGTGGCTCAGTTGATTAAGTGTTCAGGTCTTGGTTTTGGCTCAGGTCATGGTCTCATGGGTTGAGGTATCAGGCTCAGCACTCAGTGGGGAGTCTGCTTGAGGATTCTCTCCCTCTGCTCCTACCCCCACTCATGTACGTGCCCATGCTCTCTCTTTAAAATGAATGAATAAATCTTAAAAAAAAAAAAAAACCCTAAAAAACAGAAGGTTGCTGGACTGGGAGATACAATGTATAATTGAGAGTTTGAGTCCAAAAGTGAAAGCAAGAATTAAGTGACTGAATGCCGAATGCAGAGACACTCAAGCACTCTTCCAACACAGCCCATCCAGAATGTGGCTTTCAGATCTTTCCCTCCAGGCAAGAGACTGAAAGCCTCTTTTCTGGAGACTGTAAATAGCACAGGATGAAAGACAGAAAAATACTGACGTTTGGGGGTTTATCAACTAATAATCCATCTAACCATTGAAACTTTAGGTAGAGAAGCCCCACGTCATGCACTCAGACCTTCTAATCAGTGTTTAGCCCTTTTGCTATTGATAAATGGCAGACAGTTCAGGATTACCAGACATAACAGAAAAGCCTCTGAAGTGGAAGATAAAGACCAAAACAAATTAATAGAAAAAACTTGGAGGAAGAAAAATATGCAGAGGGAAGAAAATGAAAAAATCTTTTTTTTAAAAAGATTTTATTTATTTATTTGACAGAGAGAGAGACAGAGAGACAGGGAACACAAGCAGGGGTATTGGGAGAGGGAGAAGCAGACTCCCCGCCCAGTGGGGAGCCTGAGGCAGGGCTCAATCCCAGGACCGTGGGATCATGACCTGAGCCAAAGGCAGACGCTTAACGACTGGGCCACCCAGGCGCCCCTGAAAGAGTCTTTTTAAAAAGATCCTCAGAAATTACAAGACCATGAACAACCGTGTTGTCTTCCGTTGTGCACACTGATGGGCTTCTTTCTAGTAAAGCATCAAACTCTCAAGATGCCCTACGTTCTAGCTAGTCTAAAAATTCAGCTTCTCGGCTGTTTAGTTTAGTGTGGTGAGTGGATTAAGAGAGTGAAGCTAGAACAGCCTAATTCCTCCACAGTTATTTGTACTGTAGTAAGGAAGAGGAGGCAGTGGGGGAAAGGTTGTGGTAAACTGTGACAAAATTAACCTAGAAAGTTCACAGCAAAATTCTGCTTAATAATGTACTTGTTTTTTTTTTTTTTTTTTAAAGATTTTATTTATTTATTTGAGAGAGCGTGAAAGTGAGAGAGATAACAGAGCTCTGGAGAGGGAGAAACAGACTCACCACTGAGTGGAGAGCACGATGCGGGGCTCAATCCCAGGACTCCGGGATCATGACCCAAGCTGTAGGCAGTAGCTTAACCAACTGAGCCACCCAGGTGCCCCTTAATAATGTACTTGTTTAGAACAAGAGAAACTGGGGCACCTGGATGGCTCAGTCGGTTAAGCGTCTGCCTTTGGCTCAGGTCATGATCTTGTGGTCCTGGGATCGAGTCCCATGTCGGGCTCCCTGCTCAGCAGGGAGCCTGCTTCTCCCTCTCCCTCTGCCTGCCATTCCCCCTGTTTGTGCTCTCTCTCTCTCTGTCAAATAAATAAAATCTTTAAAAAAAAAATAAAGAACTAGAGAAACGAAATATCTTTCTAGTCACCATCATATAGTTCTAGAAGTGTGTCAAGGAACTAAGCACACTTAGCAGCACTGACCGTGGACGCTCTGCAGAGTTCTTGTTTTCATTGCACACAGACACATAGACACATGGACAACACATGGCTCCCTGGGAATTACCCTGGCCATAAAGCAGGCACAGGTGGGGAATGGGATTTTTAGTGGCTCTACTAATTAGGGGGAAAAGTGGGAGAACGAGAAAAGTAAAGACTTCACTGAGAATAGGAATTGGGACAGAGGATTTTTTGTTTGTTTGATTTTGGGTTTTTTGTTGTTGTTGTTATTGTTGTTGTTTTTGCTTTTTGGTAAGGAGAAGCTCCTTGTATAAACTGAGCAGTGGATACTGTCTTGCAGCCTAGAATCTAAGGAGGATTTTACACAAATAAGATATTATAAAATGAATCACCCTATATCAAAGATCTAGGGTGAAAAAAGGGAAGGGGAGTAGATTATTCCAGAACCTCAATGTAAGAGAGAAGAAGGGTTTAACTTTACTATCTCTGTGAGTCAAGTAAGTATCCTGATTCAGAAGATGTGGTGACCATAATTTGGGCCAATTGGAATACTCTTCATTGAGAAATCATAAGGCTATGGGTCCAGTTTAATATAGTCCACCTACATTGCTTTTTTAAAATTAAATCATATTTTACTTTAAATTCCAGTATAGTTGACACATAATGTTATATTTCCACCTACATTGGTTTTGATGAGCTATAAAACACATTAGTTTCTGGCTCATCATCCTAGGCTAGGTTTCTCAAAGCCCACGAGTCCATCTTGAATGGTCACCTTATCCATCTGCTGGAAGGCCAGCTCTTCCTTGTAACCAGCTCCCCTCCAAGTTCAGTACGTAGTACTAGGACCCCACCTTACCCAGCACTAAAATGGGAATAACAATCTCTGCTCAGTAGGACTATTAGGACGTTGTATCTGGGAGTTAAGAATTTAGCCAGTCACCTGCACCTCGAGTTCGCAGCCCCATTAAGTCCCAACAACGTCAGTTCAGTCATTGAACATCTTGAGCTTCTGATCTGTGGGAAATGTCAGGCTCCTTTTTCACTCTTTCAGAATCAATAAAACCTAGCTCTCTGAACTCTACCTGTCCTGGACTTTTCTATCCTCTCACAGTCTTTCTTTGTCTCTACAGTTCTGAGGGCTTTTTTTTTTTTTTTTTCCTGTTTCTTTTCAATTACATCAGATCCTCAGAGACCAACATAGTATGGCAGGAATGTCTGAAGGCATTTTTATGAGAATCAGGCACAATGTTAAACCTTGGTCCTGAGCATGTTCTGAAAACAGGCCATGCTTAGACAATGACAACATCTATTTTTCCAAACTTAGAAAGTGTACATTTCAAACTGAAGGGTTTTCTCCATAATTCTCTCAACTTTATATTAAAAACAAGAGCCAAGCCTCATGGCATGTTTTTTAGAATGTTCAAACATTTAAAATGAGAAATTAAATCCAGGTGGAAAAAAATTCCTTTGAGGAAAGTGATCTCATTGATTCTACAGCAAGGTTCAGTTCAGCTATGAATTCAAAAGCTAGACCCTGAGTAAGTAAAATAATCTAAGAAGTGAAGTTGCATCATCTCTGCAGAGCATCTGGGCAAACTCTCAAGACGCTGGAACCCTCAGCAGAATTTCTCAGAGTAAGATTCATGATTCATGTAGTCTCTGTGGCTTCTTCTCTCTCTTCCCCTGCCTACAAACATCAGTCTCACCTACTTGTCCCTTTCCAGAACCATGTTACTCTCCACACAAACCATTAGAGATGTCCACATTCCTTCTCAGAGCAATCTGACCTTGTCTGAAGGTTAACTTCAGGGTATATATATTTTTTTATAGTCTTGTAACATGTTATATTATTAAACCTATGTTTCTAAATTGATGATGCCTTAGAGTGGATTTGAGTGTAAAGCCAAATCCCACTATGGCAGCATTTCATAAATTGTTCACATTGATGTGACGGGTATTACTAAGGAAATTTTGATGACGTTACCCATCCAAAATAGAGAACTCTCAAATGAAAATAACAGCAAGATCACAAAGTCTACTGGTGCTACCCAAACCATAATTTTACTGTTCTGGAAACAGTCAAATCACTAATGTGAGTTATAGGCCCATCACGTGACAAGCTGGCAAGAGTTTTGATTCTGTTTGTTATGGACTGAATTTTTGCCCCCCACCCATTCATATGTTGAAACCCTCATTCTCAATGTGATAGGATTGGGAGGTAAGGCATTTGGGAGGTAATTAAGTGTAGATTGAGGTCATGATTGTAGAGCCACCATGATGGAATTACTGTCCTTATAAGAATAGGAAGAAAGTAGAGCTCTCACTCTACCCTGTGAAGATATAGCAAGAAAGTAGCCATCTGCAAACCAGGAAGAGGGTCCTCACCAGACAGTCTGTAAGTAACCTAATCTTAGACTTCTCAGCTTCTAGAACTGTGAGAAACAAATGTTTGTTGTTTAAACTATCCAGTCTATGGCATTTTGTTACAGCAGCCCAAGTCAATTAGTACACAATTCTTCCCTAGGATGGAGTTCATCGGAATAATCAGTACTTAACTTTGGCTGTGTGTTCAGATTACAGACTCCGCAATGGAGATGTTATCGGCAAAATGCCATTACTTGCACATTTTGGATATTTCTGGTTGTATCCTGCTTACTGACCAAATGCTTGAGGACCTTCAGAGAGGCTGCAGACAACTTCGAATCCTTAAGATGCAATACTGCAGATGTATTTCCAAGTAAGTATGAACCTGAATATGAAAAGCTTTGAGAACTACTTTCTGAGAAAACAGAATACTGATTCTGACATGTGTAATACAGAGTGGCTTTCAGAGTTACAAAGTGTCATTCTATTTTTTGCCTGATGGAAGCCAACATTTTGAGCTGAACATTATGAACCTCTCTTCTAAAATGGTCTCTGTGGTTTCCGATCTCTTTCCCAGCAGCCCTTCCACTCCAAGCACTTCCCTTTCCTTGACCATGCAGGTGTTCAAAGCCTCCACTCTGCTCCGTGTAGAACTATCATCACCTCTTCCTCTACTCACCTCTCAAAATATCTCCATTCAGTTCATTTCCCCTAGGCGCTAAAAAATAATTCGATTAAACCAGTGAACTATTGAGTATAAATTACTAACAGTTACCCTAAGCCCCATCTCTCTCAAAGCTATTTGCTTGATACTTGTTACTCATTTAGGGATTTCCTGTAAGAACTAGAGCTCAGGGTAAAGCATTCTGGCTTGACCGTTACAGGCCCATGCTGGTTCCTGCAACTGGCAAAATGTTTATGTTGAAGCAAAAGTTGGGCAAATAAGCAATCTATACAAGTAGAAGGTCTCAGGTGTCTACCCTGTGAGTTTTTAAATATAAAGCAGTTATTTGCTTCATTGTTTAGTTTTTTTCCTATTGACGGAGAGTAAAAATGTGCAAGTAGTTTTAACTGACCTGATGAATTAACCTGTGAGTGTTCAAAATGAGAATTCTTGACCAATCCCTGAAGGTCCGGTTCTTTTCTGCAGGCTGGAAAAATGAATACTAAGAATTATTATTATCAAAGTATATTGTGTTCTAAGCATATATATTCACAGAGGAATTTTCTTATTAAGTAAGCAGTCCTGGCATGAACTGAACAATGAAATCTGCTCACTTGAAGACTGAGGAAGAAAATGATTTCTGATCCAAGGCTGTATGTGTTAAAATGAAATGAAAAAAAAAGCACACAAAAATTATTACTTGTAAAATAGGCATTCCCACTGGGCCCAGGCCTGCTTGGGGGAGGGCAGCCACCTGAAGCTGGATCAGAAAAAAAGAAGCAGGTCTGAAAAGTTTTGAAGAAGAGTGGAGACTCAACCCTTCTTAATAGGTCTGGAGATGACTGATACAGATATTATTAGCTTCATTGAGAAAGGGTACCATGAAACAACGTCCTGGGAGTCCCTGCCAACCTTGTCATATCATTAAACACACAACTTGGGGTAAGATGACAATGAATGAATAGTATATTACACAGAGGAGTTTGGCTTCTAACCTTCTGATTGTATTTTGACAATCACTATTTTTGGGAGATAATATTACTGAACTTCTCATAGTGGGATTTTAAGAATGAAGGGAGACTTTTTGGCACCAGCCTCTGTGAACCTAATTATGGTATGGGATATTAAAGTGTGATAAATCATGGTGTTTGGTTAAGAAGACACAAACTATCTGGTAATATCCTAATCCTGTCTTTGCTCGCTCCTCTTCAAGGTTACTAGATAAAAAATATGTGAAGAAAACAAAACAAGGTGAATTAAGACTTTACTACTTGCTAGGCTTGGCCAACAAAACCCTGATGCAAAACTCTAGTTAACTAGTTGGATCTATGAAAAATTCCTTTACCTAAGCTAGGACAGCCAAAGTCTTTGTTTTCTACCACCAAGCCTGGCTGTCCCTACCAGCAAGAAGCAGAGACATGGTCCTAGTGCTTAGAGGGGAACTGGCTTTTGTCCATCTCATTGTCTAAAATGGCCAAACCACCTCAGTCTTCCTCATAGGCCCACCCCTGCTAAGCTCCAGTAGGAACGAGGCCTACAATCCTCTGATTCTATCTTTGTCTAGCAATAAAGAAGGGCAGTCCCCTCAGTAGAGTGGCTTGGAGAGTCTCAGCATTCGGACTAGTAAGGCTCCAAGTACTTGTCTTGACTTCCAGCTTCTAGGACAGGGCACTGTTTTTCAGCCAAGGAGCTGCCAAAATACCTGGGCCTGAAAACTTTGATTGGAGAAGTGTTAAGGCCTGGCCAGGGTCATGTTTGTTTGGGGTCAGCTCTAAGGACTATAAAGCAGCTTCCTTCTCCACTTAAATCCTTGGGTGGGCCTTTCAAGACTCAAGTTCATGATGATGTCGAATTGCTTACCTATCTATGTTCACTCTAAAAAAGCAGAGTCGTTTGCTCTTACCAGGGCTAATGTGGCTCCCTCAACTGCAGTGGCTGTTTTGTCTGGGTGAAATGGAACATTTGGTAGTTGAGATAGAGGAAATTTTTCTTGCTTGGGAAGAGGTTCAATGGCTTTGAATCACAAAGTGTTGGACTCCCACACATTTGATTCCATTTGAACATGAAAACACTGTATGATGAGGCTCTTAAAATCCAATTACAGCCATCAGAAGAAACTTTTCTATGTATAAATTCCCCCATACTCAATAGACTATAAAAATATTGTACCAGCTTTGCAAATCAAAGACGCCTGTCCAGTTGAACCGGGAGAGTAGCAAACTTTTGGTCAATGAGAAAATTGGCTACAAATCTTTTGCAAGAGAGCTTTCAGCATGAGATATGCTGTCATTCTACCAACGCCAGAGCCTAAAGAGATCACAAGAAGTGGTTCTAGAAGCATCTTGTGGAGACATAATCTAGGCTCCTTTAATTCAAGGAGGAATAAGTAGCAACTATGATCATAAACAGGACAAGAATATGTTTAGATTTGAAGCAATTGTGTACAACAAGCCTTTCAACATATGGCCCTCCATGGGAAAAACAAGAAAGGCAACGGAAAGGAAGAAAAGCATAGTGGGAGAGAGGGAAAAAGACCTAAACAATGGTCTCCACAACCCAGGAGGGTCTGAACCACAAGGAAGTAAAAGAGACATTAAGTCTATAATTAGCAAAGAATAAAGGGCCCTTTCTGACATTTTTGTGTCTGGAGTCCAAAACTTTCAACTTTAAAGAGATGAGTAGAGTCTTGGCGGCCTTTAGAGCCCCAAACAGCAGTACAGAGATTTCTTAAAGGCCTTCTGTAGCAGTTGCTGGCAGCATGAATTACTAGCCAGGCACCCTGAGAGGTCTGTTGCTAGGAAATAAAACTCTGATTATCAGAGTTCTGTTCTCCAGCTCATGGAAAAGTCTTTGGGGAAAACCTTTGTGATCTGGAGCTACTGAATGTTGTTAGTATGAACAAATAATATTAACAATTATTATTTGCTATGTATTGTGTTAATCCTATTTTATGTTTACTATCTCATCTAATCCTCATAATTACCCCCATTACCATAAAAATGAATAAGGAAACTAGTTTAAGCAGCTTAAATAAGTCCCAAGGTCAAACAAATAAAAGGAAGAGTTGTACTTTGTACCTATGTCTTAATCATTACTATGTTGCTCTTTTGCCTTTAGATTAGTGATTTTCAAGCTTTTTGAAAGCTCTAACACTCGACTTGATCAATAAGGGGGCACATAAGTTCTGTTGTGCCCAGTTTACTTGTTGATGCATAAATCTGAGAGGCTGGTGATTACCAGCAGTCTTTGTGTTGGCTTCAACACCCCCCACCCTTTTTTGCCTACTCAAGAAACTAGGAGGAAATGTGTGAGGGCAAGTAATGTTATTATAGGAATAACCTTGAATTTCCTTTAATTTATAAAACCCAAAAATCACAAAATTCAGTACCTCATTATAATTAAACATTTAATGTGATACTTCACAACTGTTTGTGACATATCATTTTGAAAATCATGTTTTTTATTGATCCAGAGAAACCTGTCTCACCAAGTTAAATGAGTAATGATGACTAACCACTGCAGCACACTGGTTCGGTTCCCAGAACATCTCCTACAAGGTCCAAGGACCTTAGTGTCACTTAGGTCAAGCCAGAGTGGAAGGGAGTCAAAGGATTCCTTCCATATGTACTCTAAGAAATTTAGAACACATAGTAATTCCTAACCATACATTTTCTTTTCAGTATTTCCTAGCTCCCATATACTGACCATACCAGGACACCAAACTACTTTAAAAGAAAGAGAGAGTGTGTGTGTTCTTTTTGGCAGGAACATTCAGTTTCTACATTTTCAAGTTTCTGGATACTGTTCAAAAGTGCATGTGTGCAAACACCCAGCAAAACAGGATGTGTGAAAAAGAACTCAGAGATATTTGCAGGCAGTGACCCCGCTGGTCTGTTCTCTTGGTCAGGTCCTGAGTCTTAGGAGTCAGTCCTAAGAGGATGGATGCCAAAGATCTGAGTAAGGTGGTGAGGACAGCTAGTTCATGGGCTAAGGATTTTCTAAAAGGTGGAGAGGAAATAGATTAGGGAATTGTCTACACTGACATTCAAATTCTAATAATCCCAGATTTGCCCCAGTCCAGATTCACATTTTTCAGTTTTTTTCCCCACTACCCTTGCTGTGAAAGCCTACATGCTTTAAGATATGCCTTAGAAACACTCTGTAGACTAAAGAAAGCCTTAACCTCCTGGCTTCTGAGACTGGGGGAGGAAGGGAAGGGAAGAAGGGTCTGAGACCTGATCCTTTGCTCCTTTCTGGTCTGTAAGCATTACCTCCAATGGTCAGGGGACCCTCAGATGTTTAGTTTCACTGAAGCTGACAATGGGTAGAACAAAGAGCAGTGCTTACCACTAAGAGCTAAGGTAAGGGTGGCAAGGAGCCAAGAAATAAGGGGTCAGCTCCCCTAACCCTTATGTTGTTCAAGGGTCAACTGTATTTCAACATGGGAAGACATTTTTCACAGGAATTTTATCTCCCGCTTTTCAGAAAAGGAAGGAAGATCCATGGGGCGCCTGGGTGGCTTAGTCATTAAGTGTCTGCCTTCGGCTCAGGTCATGATCCCGGGGTCCTGGGATCGAGCCCCGCGTCGGGCTCACTGCTTGGCAGGAAGCCTGCTTCTCTCCCTCTCCCACTCCCCCTGCTTGTGTTCCCTCTCTCGCTGTGTCTCTGTCAAATATATAAAATCTTAAAAAAAAAAAAAAAAATCCATTCCTGCCCCAGCAACAATGCACTGACTACCACTTGCAGTCAATGAGAAACTGTCACAACCTCAAACTCTTGTCTTCTCCAAAAGCTTTGTTGAAAACAACCCTCCCCAATTTCCTCTGAAAACATAATAAAAGCTGACCTTCCCTTCTTCTTTTTGGACTTGCCTATGGTTTACCATAGTTTGCTTGTCCTGAATTGCAATTCCTCTGTTATTACCAAATAAACTTATTTTTTTATCTTAAACAAAATTGCTCTTTGCTCTGCTTAAAGTTAACAGCATATACCATTGGGTACTTCCCCCATGGGTGGTGCTCAAACTTATTTTGATTCTGTCTCATCGCATTGCATTTAACGAGTATTCTTCCCTATTCATTCCCTATTTTTCTTGTCTATATTGAGGATTCAGTATCCCCGACTTTCTCGTTTTTTTTCTCAAACTCCCGTTATTTGCCCTAATTATCATCTAATTTACCCTGGCTTGTAGCTGACTGAGGAACTGTATGACCCATTATTTAAATGTTACCAAATCAGCATTTTTTTTTTTAAGATTTTATTTATTTATTTGAGAGAGAGAATGAGAGCATGAGAGGGGGGAGGGTCAGAGGGAGAAGCAGACTCCCTGCTGAGCAGGGAGCCTGATGTGGGACTCGATCCCGGGACTCCAGGATCATGACCTGAGCCGAAGGCAGTCGCTTAACCAACTGAGCCACCCAGGTGCCCCACCAAATCAGCATTAAGAGTACTTATCCTCCTCCTACCAGACCTCTCAAAAACTGTTGCTCTTCTGAGGCCAAAAGTTACATGTACTTTGGTCAATTACTTACGAATCTTTTACTCCCCAAACTCATCCTTTTCCTAAAGGTTAAGACCATTGTTGCCTGTAATTGTACTGGTCTTATCATCAGTGACACTAAATCATGACCAACAATTGTGAACTACAGTATGCACGTCCAGAGCTCTGCTGTTTGGGAGGCAGGGGGCAAGAGGGGGCTGGGAATAGCAACCTACGAATGCCTCAAACCTTCAGAAGAGAGCAAAAAGGGCTTCCTTTGTTGGTGTAAACTGCTGAATATGTCTTGTTTTGGTTGTCACTGAAGATACAAAGAAATGGAATACACCCTTAAATAACTTACTACCTTCTTAAACAAAAGGAAAATAATAAAGTTTAAAATTATAAACAATTAATGCCGTGAAGCTATGTATTGGAAACTAATTAACTCCATGATCAACTTCCTATAGAGTTCAGAGGAGAAAGGGACTGCGTTTAGGTCTTTACAGGAGGCTGGATTGGTTTGAAGTTTTGAAAGATGGATCGAGTTTAAATAGGCAGACATGGGGTGAAGGGTAAGTAACAATGAAGCTCCGTTGCCTAGGGTAGTGTTTTATATTTGAAATTGATGGTGCCAGTATTTTATGCTTCGGATTCCCTCAGGATTTGGTATTATGTTGCAGTAAGTACTCAAAGGAAAACAATCTCACGAAAAACACCCTCAAAGACATGGCAATCTCAACTCCACAGAATTGGAAAGGGAGAATAATCTTCAGAAGAAAATGGGGGAAAGCTAAAGATATAACACTATTATTACTGCATAATGACGTCCTACTTAGAGGACATACAAAGGTCATATAAGAAGTTTCAAATGTAGGACCACACTTAAAAAAAATTAAAACATTAACAGAATGCCAAACTTCATCTTTGACAATAAACTTATCATTTTCAAATTTGAGAATAAGTATTTCTCTAAAGAGAAGACACTTGTTTGCCAAGTTTTAGTCCATAGGATTGATGGCTCAGAACTAGAAATTTGTATATTTGCTTTTACTCATATTTTTCTTTAAACTTGTGTGGGTTTTTGTTTGTTTGTTTTGTTTTATGTGAGTGCAATTATATATGCCAAAAGCAATGTGGTAAGAGATGGAATTAGCAATGCTATGGTTGTCTCCCTGTTGAGTTTGGTTATAATTATTTTAATACATCTAAAATTTGGTTCAAATGAAATAGCATTTTAAACAACTGGTACATCTCAGCCTTTTCCAATTTCATTGTGCTGCCTGCACTCATATAGCCATCGAGCACAAATTTAACTCAAACCATGTGGTAATACCAGCTTCTTTATCAATGACTATTTCCAGAACTTTGCAATCAATAACTCAATGTAATATATGGTAATAGTGGGCAAAGTAGCCCCTTCATGGGCAAGCATCATTACTCATTTCTGATCCTACAGTTGTCAATTACTCATTTTTTTTTTGAGTACTGATCTCAACATTCAAACCAACTTCCTAGAAAAATGGCATTGTTCTACCCTTGAAAAGGCATTTTCAAGTTAGATATACTGTTTTTTTCTGATGCTGTGATATTGTGATTTTATGAGAAATATATTTTGGTCATTTAGATGACCAATATATGTTTGGTCTTCCTTCATAATTCTTAGCTCAGAGCTACCAACCCCCTTGGAATTTCCTGGGCAGTAAGAGCAATGAGAGCATCTTTTGTCATAATATTTGGTCTGATTTCCTGGGAGGGGAGATTAAATCAATCACCAATGGCCAATGATTTCATGAAACATGTCTACATAATGAAGCCTTCATAAAATCCTAACGGGACAGGGTTTGGACAGCTTCCGGGTTGGTTAATGTGTGTAGATCTGGGGAGTGGTGCACCTGGAGAGGGCATGGAAACTCCATAGCCTTTCCCTACACCCTGTCCTATATATTTCTTCCATCTGGCTATTCCTGAGTTATACCCTTTTATAATACACCAGTGATCCAGTAAGCAAAATGTTTCTCTGAGTTCTGTGAGCAACTCTAGCAAATTAATTGAACCCAAGAAGGGGTGGGGGGCAAGGAATTGTTGGAACTTCTGCTCTATAGGTGGTCAGTCAGAAGCCTGAGTGACAACCTAAGTAATTGGTATCTAAAGTGGAGGGCAGTCTAGTGAGACTGAGTCTTTAACCTGTGGAATCTTTCATGCTGTCTCTGGAATTGAGTTGAATTGTAGGACATCAGCTGCTAAGAATTGCTTGGGGGTGGAAACCCCCTGCCCCCTTCTTAAAACTGGGGTCCAGAATGACTTTTAGATGCTTTTTTTGCTTTCTTCCTTACTTCTTCCTAAGAAAGACAATAGTATTTTTAATCATATTTGTCACTGACACCTTTGAGAGTTTGACAAAAGTCGCAAACCCTCTCCTCAGAAAAATGTGTATTAGATACAAAACTGCATGAATTTTCAGGGAATTCATGGACTTCCCTGAAGTTCATCCATCTATCCAATAGGGATCTGTGGACTCTGGGTTAAGAGCTCCTGCATGGTGGGACTTCACAGCTTGGCTGGTTAGGGTACTCCCTCATCAAAGAAACTGGAAATACCAGGCAGAAGGCTCATTCAAGGGCACTACAGAGTTGCCCTCAGTGTTCCCACTCCATTGCCATGTGTAGTTTCCTTACCCATTCACGGAGTCTGTTAATCTCTGAACTGGCTATACCAGAGAGCTACTGAGCTACTTAAGCTTTGGGACCCTGAATATTTGCATAATTATCCTTACCCTCCCTCTCAGGATTGCAAGAGAGCTGTGAAATTCATTGACTTGTGACAGTTCTTTTACTCCAGATTTGCTCTAGTTTGAATATTCTGCACTAGTAATTACTTCTTCTCTGGCTAATGCGAATCACTGTTATTGCAGGGAGGCAGCAAAGAGAATGTCATCTATTGTTCAGCAGCAGGAATATAACCCTAACGACCCTCCACTTTGGTTTGGCTATGATTATGAAGGCAAGCCCCTTAAAAGACAACATGAGATAACACCACTTAAAGGAGACGAAGAAGTCATAGTGACAGAGTCAACACACAGTAGAGAAGAAGAAGAAGTATGACCTTCAGCCTCAACAGGAAGAACAAAAAATCTAGAACTTGGTAACTTCATCTGATGCAAGTATTTTTACCATCTGGATCTCAACAGTGTAAACAAGCAGCAAATCATCTCCTGATTTTTATTCCAACTACAAATATTTCTAAATACATTATTTCTTCTAATTGGTTTAATCATATTTAAAAAAAAAGCCAAATCAAGTATTGCTACAATGTAATTTTTCCACTTAAATTTACCTTAATCAAACAAACAGTTCTGATGAGATTATCAAATCTAAGGTTATAGTTATATAAAACCATCCTGAGAGATGTGATGTTCTTAACAAGGAATTTAGAAGCTTTTCTTTACAAAAGAAAGCAGAGATGGTCGTATGAGTCAGCATAAGAGTTTGAGCCAGGGCAATGATTTTAAGAATCTGTGACGATATAAAAAGTATAGACATACATTTTTTAAAGGAAACAAGGCTTTCTTGTTATTTCCAGATATTTTACAGTAAGAACTAAATACCACTTAACCCTGGACTCAACTCCACATTTGACTTAACAGTCAGGGATAAATTAAATGAAATATGAACTACCTATGAATTGGTAGGCTGTCCCTGCAATGTTTCAGAAACGTCTCTTTTTAATCACATTGGAGCTATGGAGTAATTTTAAAAAATATGCTATGTCAAAAAAGATGCTCTCCCTATTTTATGCTAAGAGGTATGTGTTATCGTGTACCTCCTAATTATTACTATTTTTTTTACCTCATTATTTTTAAAGAGCTTTCATCTGTGGATTTTTACCACTCTGGGAAAAGATAATACTACAGAATTCAAATGATCACATGCTGGTATTATCATTATTTGATATTATGTGATACTCCTGTTGATAAGGGTTCAGGAAAAAGCCCAACTCTGTTCTGATTGCCATGAACAAGCTGTGTTGGTAATATTGGATCAGTCTTTTAACCTATTTCCTCCATTACTTATCTTTTTTTTTTTTTTTAAGATTTTATTTGACAGAGAGAGAGAGAGAGAGAGAAGAGCAGGGGGTGAGGGAGAAACAAGCCCTCCGCAGAGCAGAGAGCCTGATATGGGACTCTATCCCAGGACCCTGAGATCATGACCTGAGCCGAAGGCAGACGCTTAAACAACTGAGCCACCCAGGCGCCCCCTTTATCTTTTTTTTTAAGTTTTAATTCCTGTGTAGTTAACATACAGTGTTATCTTAGTTTTATGTATACAATATAGTGATTCAATAATTCCATATATTACTAAGTGCTCATCATGCCAAGTGTACTCTTAATTCCCTTCACCTATTTCACCCATCCCCCCACACACCTGCCCTCTGGTAACCATCAGTTTGTTCTGTATAGTTAAGAGTCTGTTTTTACATTTGTCTTTTTTCTTTGTTTCTTAAATTCCACATATGAATGAAATTATATGGTATTTGTCTTTCTCTGACTTATTTCACTTAGCATAATACTCTCTAGGTCCAGGGGCACCTGGGTGGCTCAGTTGGTTAAGTGTCTGCCTTTGGCTCAGGTCATGATCCCAGGGTCCTGGGATGGAGCCCTGTGTGGCTCCCTGCTCAGCAGGATGTCTGCTTTTCCCTCTCCCTCTGCCCCTCCCCCTGCTCATGCTCTCTCTCGCAAATAAAATCTTAAAAAACAAACACTGCACCCTTTAAAAAATTCTCTAGCTACGACCATGTGGTTGCAAATGTTAAGATTTCATTTTTTTTAATGGCTGAATAATATTCCATTGTATAGATATACCACATCTTCTTTATCCATCCATCAGTGGACATTTGGGTTGCTTCCATAATTTAGCTATTGTAAATAATGCTGCACTTAACATAGGGGTGTATACATCCCTTAGAATTGGTGTTTTCATATTCTTTGGGTAAATACCTACTAGTGCAATTGCTGGACCATATGGTAGCTCTATTTAAAATTTTTTTTTTTTTAAGATTTTATTTGTCAGAGAGAGCACAGACAGAGGGAGAAGCAGGCTCCCCACTGAGCCAGGAGCCCAACATGGGACTCAATCAGGACCCTGGGAAAATGACCTGAGCCGAAGGCAGACGCTTAACTGACTGAGCCACCCAGGTCCCTATTTTTAATTTTTTGAGCAATCTTTGCACTGTCTTCCACCGTGCCTGCACCAGTTTGCATTCCCACTGACAGTGCAAGAGAGTTCCTTTTTCCTCTATATCCTCACCACTGCTTGTTGTTTATTTTAGCCATTCCAACAGGTATGAGGTGATATCCCATTGTGGATTTGATTTGCATTTCCCTGATAATGACTGATGTTGAGCGTCTTTTCATGTGTCTGTTGGCCATCTGGATGTCTTGTTTGAAGAAGTGTCTGTTCATGTCTTCTGCGCATTTTTAAATTGGATTTTTTTTTGGTTTTGAACTGTAGAAGTTCTCTATATATTTTGGATACTAACCCTTTATTGGGTAAGTCATTTGCAAATATCTTCTCCCATTCAGTAGGTTGCCATTTAGTTTTATTGGTTGTTTCCTTTGCTGTGCAGAAACTTTTTATTTTGATGTATTCCAGTATTTTTGCTGGAGACACAGATCTAGAAAGTTGTTACAGCTGGCATCAGAGAAATTACTGCCTGTGCTCCCTTCTAGGATTTTCATGGTTTCAGGTCTCACATTTAGGTCCTTAATCCATTCTGAATTTATTTTTGTGTATGGCGTAGGACAGTGGTCCAGTTTTCTCAACACCATTTATTGAAGAGACTTTTTCCCATTGCATACTTTTGCCTCCTTTGTTGAAGATTGACCACATAATTGTGGGTTTATTTCTGGTCTTTCTATCCCGTTCCATTAATCTGTTTATTTTTGTGCCAGTATCATACTGTTTTGATTACTACAGCTTTGTAAAATAATTTGAAACCTGGAATTCTGATACCTCCAGTTTTTTCTTTTTCAAGACTGCTTTGGCTATTCAGGGTCTATTGAGGTTCCACACAAATTTTAGGATTGTTCTATGAAAAAACAATTTTAGTATTGTTTATTCTGTGAAAAATGCTGTTGGTTCCTTATCTCTTAAGTTAATCACTGTCTCTTTGTATCCCAGAAATCTGAAGTAAGGATAAAACTTAAGGTAAAGAATATGAGTTATTTTGAAAAGTTTAAAATGGGCTAAATGGGCTGCATAAGGTATTATTATAAGGTACTCTGTATTAGCTAAACGCTTTTAATAATTCTCCCCCTTTTAAGGTTTCGAGAGTTTTTGAAATAAGATAATATTACTTACCTGTAGAATGGTTTCTAGAAGTGGACAGCAGGGGAATCAGCTGAGTAGGAAGTTTTCAGACCTGAGTCAAGAGACTTGAGGGAAATTTTTAACTAAATCTAGAGATTTCTGGCAGCTGCAGAAAAATTGGCTTCTGATCCCTAAGTGTTTCAAGCACACAACTGGAGAGACCTATAAAAGAGGCAACTGCTTTCTAAAAGAATAAAACCTGCATGGGGAAGATGAAGGGGTAAGGAGAAAGACACCCTTGTTATGTTCTCTAGAAACCAAGCAGTGTGTTTGGTATTTAACTACCAAAGCTTGCTCCAAAACTCTTTGAGTAAGATCCTCTTTTAAAAAAAACAGGAGACACATTTGTTCCTTATGGAAAGACAAATTTTATAACTACACAAATGAAAGAAAAGGGGTAGATGTTAGAAAAGTGGGCTGTAAAAGGCTACCAAGAAGCAGAATGAACAGGTGGTGAAATCTTCAAGTTCTCAGTGCAAAGTACTCAAAATATCCAAAATATTACTTAGGTCTTCAGCTCTTAAGCATTTGCTATATATGGGTGAGTGTTCAAGAGAGCAAAATATGGCGGCTTGTCCTTGATGTTTGGACTTGACTATGTGATTCAAATATGTACAGTTCCTTTAAAAATTTTAAATACAGTTTACAGCTGTTATGCTCATGACCTTTCTGGCTGTTGTTGACTAGTTTCATAAACTTTATTTTCAGTCATGAAAATATTTATATAATTGTATGAGGGTGAAAAAGATTATAAAAATTGCCTCACTGCCTCAGTTTCCTCTATTTAATAATTTTGCACACATACACTATAACATCAAACATACTAACATGAATATTTCCCCAACTTCTATAAATTTTGATTTCATGAAGATTGAACGAAAGGAGACTTTTTTTTTAGATTTTTTAAAATTTATTTGACAGAGAGAGACACAGCGAGAGAGGGAACACAAGCAGGGGGAGTGGGAGATGGAGAAGCAGGCTTCCCCCTGAGCAGGGAGCCCGATGTGGGGCTCAATCCCAGGACCCTGGGACCATGACCTGAGCTGAATGCAGATACTTAACGAATGAGCCAACCAGGCGCCCAAGGAGACTTTGAGATATTCCACAAAGTTTACTTTTTGTTTTGTAAATATAAAGTTAAAAGTAGAACTCTAAATAAATAAAATATTAACAAAGGGATTATTATAAATCATAGTATTTGAGAAGGCTTATTAGAAAGCATTAAGAACCGATTTATCCTAATCATAAAAAACATAATCCAAAAGATAGGTCTATTCAGTCTTGTATAAGTTAAATGCCCCAGAAGTAGACAAGTAAGGTTTGAAAGAGAATTCAGGAAATAACCTTATACAGTACACTATTGTAGAAGTGAAAATCAATCTTCATACAGCAGGCTATAAAATCACTGAATGTCTCTCCTCTTCCCAATGCATTATATCTTAAATTATACAAAAAAAAATTAAGAATCAGTAGCACATGCATCACATTTTAGATGTGTTTTATTCACAGCTTAAATTTACACTGATGTCATAAGAAGTTCTAAGTAGCAAATGTGTTATGAGAGAGCTATGGTGCAAGAAATTCTAAGATAACTGCCCCCCCCATTACTTATGCCTTTGTATAATCGCCTCTTGAGTGTAAATGGAAATTATAAATATGATGAGATAGCACTCCCATGATTATGTTACATTATATGGCAAAACAAAGATTATTCTGGGCAGGCCTGATTACATCAAGTGAGCCCTTTAAAAGCAGTTTCTCCAGCTGGTTGCAGAAGAGATCAGATATAGAAGCATTAAATGCAACATTGCTGGCTTAAAGATGGAGAGGGCCAAATGAGAAGGAATGTGAGTGGCCTGCAGAAGCTTAGAGTGATTGCTGACGGACAGCAAGAAAACAGAGACCACAGTAGTAATCCCAGGCAACTGGATTTTGCCAACAATATGAACAAGTTTGAAAGATTCCCCCCCCCCCCCGAGCATCTAGATGAGAACACAGCCTGGTTAATGCCGAGTCCAGCCTTGTCCACCCTGAGCAGAGAACCTAGCCATGCAGATCTCCTGACCTACAGAACTGTGAGCTAAAAATAAGTGTGATTTTAAGTCGGCAAGTTTGTGGTAATTTCATTACAGGGCAATAGAAAATGAATAGCTAAGTACAAATTTTCAAAAGGCCCCCACAAGACAATTCACCAGTATTCATTCCAATTTGTTTTCAACATTTATATGAACTGTGGTATTTGCATTTTTGTAGTCACAGATCTGCTAATCATTGTTAAAAATTATAAATACAACTCAAACCATTCTTATTCCTGCAGTTTCAGGGACTGAAACCAGCTTTGACTTCTAAATTTTACAGTGCCTTCTGGGGCATCAGCCTTAATCCATTTTTCATGTTTGCTTGCTTGATTCATGAGCCCTGAAACACAAAATTGCATAGTTATATCTTCATTGACAAGAGCAATATCTGACTACATAGATCCTAACAACACATCTCTGAAACAGAAAAATACTTTGGAACAGCAAAAATCTTAGAAAAGATAGTCTGAGTTGGGAGAGTTGCAAAGAGGTTACCTGGGCTTATTCCCTCCTTTCATTTTCTCAGAACAACTGAAAGGGAAGCTACTTTTTTTTGTTGGTTTTTTTCCTGTTTTTTGTATGCAGGTTTTAAAGAGGTTTATTTAAGTACAACTGACAAACTACAAGTGCTTAACATATGCAATACAGTAAGTTTTGATATGTATAACTCTGTGAAACCATCTCTTCAATCAAAATAATGAATATATCCATCACTTCTACAAGTTGCCTCCATACACCTTTGTCATCTCTTTCTCTTGCCCCTTCCCTGCCTGTCACCTCCAGACAGTCCCCCCAACACCCCAATCACTGATCTACTTTGTGTCACTACAGATTAGTTGCATTTTCTAAAATTTTAATGAATGGAATCAAACAATATATATTTTAATTTTTTTAAATCTAGGTGTTTCACTCAGCATAATCATTTTGAGATTCATTCACACCATAACAGGTATCAGGTAGTTTCCCGACACACGTGGTGATCAGTACTTTGCTGAATGCTCACAAGCACCCTGTGCAGCTCCCTCCTCTCTGGAATTCTCTCTTGTGAAATCTAGCAGTCCTGGTCTCCCCAGATGCTTAGTCTCTTCCTTGTCAGGAGTCTGTTGGGCTCTGCCTGTTTTACCCCTTCCTGCCCTGGAGGAAACTCCCTCCAGGTAATATGCTGTAGCAGGCATAGAGCTCACCTGGTTTATTTCCCATCTCTCATATAGTTCTATGTTTTTTTCTTTCGATCGAGATAATTAAGGTGTTACACCTCAAGTTCCATTGCCATTCTGGATTTAAGAGATCAGTCAAATCTGAACTGAAGAGACTTGTGAATACACTGTCTCAGTTCCTTATACACATTTTCTTTGCTAAATCCAAGCACGCAAATCAGGAAACAATTCTTTTCTTTAGTATAGTTTTTTCCTTTGTTAGTACCATGTGATGTTCCTAGCTGATGAAAAGGTGCTTTGTACCATCCAATCTTCGTGTCAAGTGCCTCTTTGATACAAATTCTGTGAGTTCTTGCCTCACCCCTTTCATCTGAGCCATAATCTTGTCTGTTTTAGAGTTCATTGCATCTTTCAAGTATCCAATGACTTCCTCTGGAGTTTTTCCTTCTACCTCTCTTGCTATATTTCAATTCCATCATTACTCTACTTTTCAGTAAACTGGTTGAAATATCATTCCTATTGGTAAATCCCTGTTAGAAAAATTAAAAAAAAAAAAAAAACCCCAAACCCCCAAAACCCAAAAAACCACCCCAGGCCAAAATGGTGTCATTTAGACCGAGTTCCCAAACATGTGTTTAATATAAAATCTAACTGCAGTTCCAAACTCCCCTAGAAATGTAGTCTTAGCTGGTCATTCAGGAATTTTTCAGTCACTGCCAATGGGTCTGCCATAAGGGCCCTCTCCATCCCAGAGGAAGATGAGGTCATTTGAATGATAAGACCCCTTTGTTTTTTCCCCCCTAGAAAGGGCCTAGCCTGGAACGATCCTTTTCTTTTGCTAATAACTTTCTTGCTCCTTTCCTCCTCTAGAGAAACCTTCCATTTTGTACAACTCCTTGGTGTGCCTCTCTACTTGCTAGGTGAGGTGCCGCCCAATTCATGAATTGTTTAATAAAGCCAATTAGATCTTCAAATTTACCCGGTTGAATTTTGTTATTTCATGGGAGCTTCTTTTTTCCCTCCAACTCTTCATTATTAAGGGGTTCAGTCAATTTAAATGTTCTTCTTTTTGGCCTGTGCTGCATTTGGTAGGTCACAATTTCGAGGTACCTGCACCCAACAGTTTTTCTATAACACAGAATTTTTTTTCTAGTAATTCAAATAAAGGTAGAGGAAAGAACTGGAAATCCTGAACATTGGTTGCTCTAACTTTTTTATTTTTTCACACTATTTGGCATCAATAGCAAAGCATCAACAACAGTAAGGTCTTCCCAACTATCTAAGATTTTTTCCTTAATATATTTAATTCATCGCCTCCCCAGTCATGCTTTTCTTGCTTACGGAAAGAGAAGCCAATCTACTCATCTCCTTTTGCAGCAGTAGAGGCTACTGTAGGGGAGGAAGACCTTCCCCTGCCCAGGGTTCTTCTAGTTGGACTTAGAATCAAACTGACATGAGACAGATTTACAGGAGAAAATTTAATAGATATACATATGAGGAATCCACACAGACATGAAATCCCAAAGACAATGAGGCAACATGAAGTTTATATAAGCTAAGAAGAGGGGTAGGGCCTGAGGCTACAAAGGGGAGAAGACCATTAGCAAGAAAGTGAAAGGAGATGTTCTGAAAAACAAAAGTTGCCCTATTATGCAGTTAAGTTTCTTAGGTAAGGGGAGTCTCTGTTACTAGCTCTCTGGGTGGCACAGGCTCTCCTTTCCAATGTAAATTTAGGCAACTGAGGGGGAGGCAGACAGCTTTTCCTGCTGGGTTTTGATTACTTTTAACTTGAAATAATCTTTATCCCAAAGTGGTCCATCTTGGGGCAGCCCGCCCTTGGCCCTCCCTCATACTGCACTTAATGCTACTAACAAAATGAACACACAGCAATTTTAGCCTAGAGACAATACTCAAAAAGCAGGACAGTTTATTCAATTCCACTTAGGTTACTTGAAAATAGCTTTCCCTATCTTGCCTATAAGTAATATACTGAAAGCTCTTCACACTTTGGTTGGCCTGAATCTGTAGAAACTCTAATTTGTAAAGTTTATAAATTCCTTCCTACAAAAATCTTGCAACACATATTGGAACTTGCAGTTGCAGAAAACATGTTCCTTATTTAATTCCCTTTGCCAATGATAATCAATGTTTTTTTTATAAAGATTTTATTTATTTATTTTACAGAGAGATAGCGAGAGAGGGAACACAAGCAGGGGGAGAGGGAGAAGCAGGCTTCCCGCTGAGCAGGGAGCCCGATGCAGGGCTCAATCCCAGGGTCCTGGGATCATGACCTGAGCCGAAGGCAGACGCTTAACGACTGGGCCACCCAGGCGCCCCAATAATCAATGTTTTATTGGCCAAGAATGGTAAATGACTACCCTACTCCTATGTAGTTTGGCTTCCATTAAGTAGGAGGAAAAGTTTCTTTTCAGGACATGGTTTTGGGTGTTTTTAAAAAATATTTATTTATTTGAGAGAGAAAGAGAACGAGCGGGATGGGCAGAGGAAGAGGGAGAGAATCTGAAGCAGACTCTGTGCTGAGCACAGAGCCTGATGTGGGGTTTGATCTCAGGACATTTGGTCACAACCTGAGCTGAAACCAAGAGTTGGATGCTTAATCGACTGTGCCATCCAAGTGCCCCTCAGAACATGTTTTTAAACTCCAGTGTTTGCTCTCTAAATCTGCCCTGTACAAATCTAACCAAATATATGAATCTCCAGGTTCTTTTATTTTCCCCCAAATACCTAGTTGAGAAGCATTAATCATTATTTAACGCCAAATATACCTGATCTAATCAGCATTAGCTGTGGAAAAAGATAGGACTCTAAGTAGTAATTTGCAGAATTTAATTCTCTGGTTTAAAAATAGGCTTAAAAAGCTTCTTGGCTAAGGTCAGCTTCTTCCTTCCCCCGCCCCTTGTTCTGAGCCTCCACCTCCTTCTCCCAACCCTTACAACAGACTTTAACATTTGGTTCAGAAAGATATTTCTGGGGTGACTGCGTGGCTCAGTTGTTAAGCATCTGGCTCAGGTCATGATGCCAGGATCCTGGGATTGAGCCCCACATCGGGCTCCCTGCTCAGCGGGAAGCCTGCTTCTCCCTCTCCCACTCCCCCTGCTAGTGTTCCCTCTCTCGCTGTGTCTCTCTCTGTCAAATAAATAAAAAAACCTTTAAAAAAAAAATCTCATACCCTTAAAAAAAAAAAAGAAAGATAATTCTGGTGCTGCCTAATTAGCAGCAGATTTAACTTCAATGATTCATAGTTGGAGGATTCCCTCTTTTACATTATAAACACTACTGACCACCCACTATGGGAAGCACCATGCTAAAGCAGTTTATATCTTTACATTCAAAAGATGTACAAAGACACGCCAATATCTTCAAAAAGTTTACCAACTGGCTAGGAAAGTAAATCATACACTTATGAAACATGAAAATAATTACTCTGAAATTTTGTTATTTGTAATGCATATATTTCACAAATAAAACCTCTAACCACACACAATTCTATAACCAAATATTTTAATGTTGTCAACATCCAATAACTGTTTACAGTCTGCCCTTGACAAAAAAAATGCAACCCCAGGCATCTTAACAAGTTATTACCGACAAGAAAGTATTTTTGAGCTAGTTTTAATGGTTCCCATCATTTATATTTTCTCTCAATTACCTGGAATAATAACAAAGTCAACCGTACTCTAGGTTTTGAGCAAGCAGCCAACCCGTTTTGCCCAAGAAATATTCTCAGAAAGACTGTTCCTCAAATCTTTTGTTTAATCCCATCCGCTGTATTTTTCATCTCAGACATTGTAGTTTCCATTTCTAGAAATCCATTTTTGGTCTTTTTTAGAACTTTCATGTCTATGTCTTTAGTTAACTTTATTCTATATTCTAACAGGTGGAATACAGTTATAATAGAACTTTTATATTCTTTCTCTGCTCATTTGGACATCTGTATCTGTTCTGGGTGGGTTTCACCTGATATCCCCTTTATTATGGGTTATATTTTCTTGCCTTTTTGCATGTCTGATAATCTTTGGATGCCAGACATTGTAAGTTTTATTTTTTTGGGTGCTGGATAATTTTGTAAATCTTGAGCAGCAGGCAGAGGGAGAGGGAGAAGCAGGCTCCCCGCAGAGCAGAGGGCCCTGCGTGGGGCTCAATCCCAGGACCTGGTTCAGGG